CCAATTAGCATGTCCCTAAAATAAAGATGTCCATTAATCCTTGGGTCGCGCGAGCACCCACTAAGTCTCCACAATGTAGAATTCTTAAATATACGTATGTATTTTAATTAATGCAAGAAAATGTAATACTATCTTTCCACAAGTACGAGTTAAGGACTTCAGATCTTTTTTTAATTTACATGTCCCTAAAAAAAGACTTTGATTGGCTCACCCAAACAGAAGTCTCCACAAAATAGCATTCTTAAATATATGTTCTTGTGTCAATTAATGCAAGAAAACTTATGGTCACCCTCCATACTATCATTATACAAGTAGGACTTACGGTCTTTTTTTAATCTGAATAAAATGTCAATTAACTAACATGTTCTTAAAAAGAACTTTTGATTTGTGTACCTACTCACAAATCACCACGACATGGCCTTCTTAAATATATGAATGTTAGAAAATGTATTGTCATCCTCCATTCTATCATTCTATAAATACTATGATGACCTACGGTCTTTTTCTAATCAAAATAAAATGTTAATTATCTTGTCCCTAAAAAAAGATCCACTCCACAAAATAGCATTCTTATGTATTTTAATTGATGCAAGAAAATATATGGGCATCCTCCATACTATCATTCCACAACTAGGATTTGTGGTTTATTTTTTAATCTGAATAAAATGCCAATTAGTGTGTTCCAAAAAAAGATCTATTGATTCACGTACCCACTCACAAGTCTCCACAAAATAACAATCTCTTCGATGGGGATGGCGGTTGTGACTTGGGTGGCTGGATGACATGGGGTGTCAAGGGCTTGCCCATCCCTTCGACGAGAATTGCGATTGTGACTATTGTTGCTTATGTTATTGTTGTTGTTGCTATTGCGAGTAGTGTTCTTCATGACGACTCCCCCTATTGCGGGAAGAGTCGGTCCATCCGTTGCCGAGACGGGAGCAACTCATCTCTTTGCTGATGTTGACTCGGAGGCGGCGAGTTGCTTTTGTCCAACCCAGGGAATGGAAGAGGTTTGGGCCTCTGAGATGGGGCTGTAGTGCTCTCGCCTGACTTCGGCTTCCCAACGATCATGGGAAGATGGCTGTGACGCCATGAATTTGTTTTTCATGCCACAACTGGCAATTGCTTGAAGGTTGTTGCCTCGGAGGTCCACATCTGTAAACGAAAAGAAGGGTTTGCCTCGGTTGCTAAAGGATAAAAGAGGAATGATTCTGAGGCCATACCACGAGGCCCAGAACTGAGGACTGCCACTATGGCAGTGGACTTGGATGGGGCTAGAGCGATTTGGCATAATTACTTTTTCTCCAACCCATGCAACCACAAAGCGACGTTGGAAACTTGTTAGTAGACCAACCGAAGTTGATTGACCACTGGTTCATTGAAGAAACAAAGAAAAAGTTTCTTCCAACCATTATTTGACGTCGAAGCCCCCTTGACTTTGCAGCCACGGCGGGAGGAGAAGAAGTCGGCTAAACCTCGAAAACACACGCTATAGCATGTGTAATAGAGTCAGCATCGGGGTGCTACGAAGCCTTCCTTATTCCCCGACTAACATCGAAAGAAAGTATCGTGAGTTTGACGCCATCAAGGCAAATGACAACATCCTGTACTAGAATGCCTCAAATAAAAAATGACAAAGTGGTAAACTATGTCTCACCTCCAATACATCAGTGCAAGTGTAAAGGAAATGATGTGACTCACAAGGTCGGTCACCTTGTTGAGCAATCAGGTTATAGGCCTCCCAATTATAATCTAAGCTAGAGATAGATGCAATCAAGTTGGAATTGAATGAGTTCATCGTAAGTGACAAAGCTTATTAAATCTTAAATTTTCATAATAAAATCAATTGATTTGTTTATTAGACTGATATACTTTTGAGATAAGTGATATAGGAAATACTTTGATCATAAACTTGGGCAACCCAAGGACCAACTATCGAGTAGGAGAGTCGGACAATGCGTTGAGAAATTATCATTTTAAAAATTAAACATCGAGCATAAAAATTGGTCGACATATCAAAGATCAGATTTCGTACTATAGGTTTACACATCATATCGGAAGGATCGGATATTGCATCGAAAGCTTGGTTATCGTGTAAAAGTTGATACTAATAAAATGGGCAATATGCCAAAGAAAAAGACGATGTGCCCGAGATTTGGACAAAGCATCAGAAGATCAGATGACCTGCTAAAAGAAGTGTATAACATTCCAAAAGCTTTGTAAATGTGCTGAATATATGGTTGATTTGTTAAAGTTTTAATCATGATTATTTTGGGTCAATTTGAGTTAGCATTGGGTTAAAACCAATATTAACTTATCAAAAAATCATTGGGTTAAAAGTTAGTTCAAATTGGGCCTATAAGATGGCCAAACTAATGTCCTAAAGTAAACCTGGATAGTGATACTGCTAGGCCCAAGTGGTAGAACCACCTAAGTCAGCCAACAAGCACTTTTTATGCTTGTTAATCTTTCCGGGGTAGTACTGCATATGGCAATAGTAATACAACCTAAAGCAACGATATTATTACTTAGAATTCAAACTTTATGATGATAGTACAACTGAAGTCTAGAATTGTAATGTCAAAAACTACGATGGTAATGCTACCCGTATCCTAAAATTTTTTAAAAATTTAAATTTCGTTGACTCCTTTCTTGAAGCCCTTTGGGGCATTTATAAGCTAGGAGAGGGTTCAAGAATCATCATTCATCGTGCAAATCAGCTAGGAGAGGGTTCATTATGCATTCGATGTGCATAATGACTTTTGTATGTAATTTCTTAGGCTGTCTTTAACCAGAGGGTTCGTAACTCTTCTTTTCATAATCTAAATGAAACTAGCATCAATTACTACGACTAGGCTCATATTAGTTAACATGTCGCCACAAGAATGACATGTTTTCTTTCTTTAATGTCAAGAAAGAGAACCTAAACCCTAAGTCATTCTAGGAACTACAGCATTACACAAGGATACAACAATCATAATCCCTATCGAATGTATACCTTTTTAACTATTATTGTCAACATCATGTGTTTTTTCTATTTTGTAATATCTGATTGTCAATTGCTTTTATAATATCAAACTAGATTGTGTGTTCCAGTCCTGACTCTATTTTATTTTATTTTTCTCAGTATTTAATTGATGATTGTGCAATGTCTTCTCAATTTGAGTTGGATCATGCTTTCACTTGTCAAATATTAGAACTTAATAAGTATATTATTTTCTTTCCCAGTAACTTATGTTCTTGAGGTTAATGATACCCCAGTCAAGATCTTCATTAGATAGAACAAGAGACAGAGCCCCCGGCAAAATAAAACAGAAAAAGAAACTCATTTGCATCGGTGACTTCTGTTGATCAAATAGATCTGCAGTGCAGGAGAGCTCTTGAATCCATCTTTCGATGGGACTGTTGGCCCTCAGTACAAATTTAGCCGCCATGAAGAGTAATAAATCATCAATTACTATAATATCAGTCATAACGAAACATATGCAGCTGAAAGCTGATAAAGATGATACTACCGCCTGCAGACGCGAATGTGCGTAACACCCTTTGCATGCAGAAGGAATGCATGGTGGAACATACGGATGACCGAGAAGAACTTATCCTGCTACGTAAACTACGTCTTCCTCATAGCGAAATCTTGGTGCAGATGAGCTCTCAGCTAATCTCCATAAAATGTCATCGGGTGCAACAACACAATATTGACTCGAGCTCTTTCTTGAATCTTAAAACAAAATGATTAATAGTAGAAACGATAAGTTCCTGTGCCTCGGCCCAGCGACCAAACACTGCAGCCCGGCCTGCTGTTCGTCGGCGTCCCGCTACCCCACAAGTGACCGCCGCTCCAAGAACGTCAAACCGAGAGAACCGACGGAAGCTACGTGTTGGATTGGCCCCCACTCGCAACCCACATCCGGAGTTTCTTGTGATGCGATTGCGCGTGTCAATTTCCATGTCACGGCATATGTGAAGGAAATGGTGATCTTAGATCAAGCATCTACCACTCAAATCTAATATTCATTTCTGATGATACTTTTGCCGGTGTTCTCCTGTAAATTTGCTCCAGTAGTTTTCCTATGAAGTCAGTTTTGGTTTCAACAAAGATGGTTCATTCGATTGCATTCTAAAGCATTCGAATTCATGGTTGCAATTGAGAGATGAATCACCCGTACACATGCCAATGTGGTGACAAATGAGAATCGATTTGTGGGGTACTCTGTGCATGGCAGTTGTTTGTCAGCTTATTTGCAGAAGACGTATATGGCGCTTCAAGCTCATTAAGCTCATACATCTCCGTTTTCTCATCCCTTACTTTCAAGCAGAAAATTCAATTCTCACACATAGAAATAATAGAAGATAAGAACAATAACTAAAGAAGCTTTATTGTAGAAATGAAATAGCTTTAGCTTGAATCTATTAACATGTTCCCTCTCCTATTTATACAGATTAGGAGGAAGGATTTCCCTCAACAGAATAAACAGAATAGAGAGATTTCCTCATATAATTGGGGAAATCTTATCCTCTATCAAGTTGGAGAAATCTTATCTTCTATCATATTGGGGAAATCTTATCTTCTATCAATATGAATGTATATAACAATGATTCAAAGCCAAACTGAATGAAGAAATTTCAGTATCTACAACTCTGCACTGGTTATAAAAGAATGAAGAAACACGAACAATTAGATATGGAGAATCAATACGGAAGATACAATAATGAGCTCAGGGACCGATGGGGCAC